AGCAGCAGCAAAAGGTTATAGGAAAAGTGGTCACAGAATGTGGACCTTAGAAAAGTATATCAAAGAGAGTATATCAAGAAATAACAGAAACAGCAGATGTGCAAAAATTACAACAGCATGTTATTTAACTGACTAAGACGGAAACTGTGTAAAAAATCAGCATGAATGCAACAACTTATTAAGGTTAGTAACAGTGATGTTATAAAGTCTTACAGGTGCTGGGTGGAAGGATATGTGATAACGCTCCCTGGTGCATTTAGGGTGCAGCAGTCTGTCACTGAGGGAGCTGTCCAGTTTAGCAACAGCCTCATGCATGGGGTGGGAGACAATATCCAACAGAGATGTTACTGTACTTTAGTTAGGGTCCTTGTGGGTGGTATATGGGTGTGTGTGTAAGTGTGTGTGCCTGTATGTATAACCTTTCCTACTCTCTGCCTTGGATTACCCTGATATTACTTGATAAACACTCATTCACTCTATTTCATTCCCCTAATATCCCTCAGTATCTAAGTGTAGGTCATTGCTGTTATCTGGATTCTCCCGTTTCAATCCTTTGACATCCCCTTTGTTTTGCTTATTAATTAAGTGTTTGTTTTTTTTGTTGCCAAAAACCAATTACGATGCTTATCCCATATTTCTGTATGCATTTCTGCTCTATTTTGAACACAATACATACCTATGTAATTCTTCAGATTATTTTCTAGTGTACATAAAAATGTCTTATTGAGTTTTTTTTTTTTTTTTTTTTTAGAAATTAGGAATATTAAACAAAAACATGGACATAACTAGAAATGTTTTACAGTAACAGTCTGAATGTTATTAGGTAAAAGGTCACTGCCCCTTGGCTAGAAGAATACACACAAGCAAAGAGGAAAAAAGCTGGCTGGTCACAGAGCATATTAAAAATATAGAAGGCTGTGTGGAAGGAACAACAGTTGTAAAGAAGAACGAAAATCAAATAGCTATAACCACAACCCTGAGATCACTGCGGAGCAAAAATGATTCAAAGGCTTGTGAAAGATTCACAAGGTGAGGACTGCAGCTGGAGTCAGTGATTCAGAAGCTATCACACACAGATGTATTGAGGGAAACTGTTTCATTCCTTATGTTAAGGCACTTTTAAACCAAACCATGTCAGAAGAATCTCAAGTGGAAATAAAGAAAAAGGTACTTGACATTGCAAAGTGGTTCAAAGGCCTATATAGACGGAAAAGCACTGGATCTATATTTTAGAGGGGTCATGGTTTATAGTCATATCATCTGCTGCTGTGGGTCCACTCTGTTCTTTGTATCTTTTACCAGAACAGTCTATCTGCCCAAGATTAAATGATTAACTTCTAAATGAATATAAATACATGAAAAGTTATATAAAAGGAAATATATCACTCTGTAATTTACCTACAATTACATGTTTTATTTTTGACATGAATTACTGAAATAAACCATCTTTTCATTATATATGGAAAGTATTAAATGCATTTATTATTAAAGATCAAACCAAAAGTATAATTAATTATATAAATAGATACTTATTTTTACCTCACAGTCAGTTATGAAATCTATTTCTACTTGCTAACTGCCAGAATGAGAGAAGGGTTATATTAAAGGGTTATATTCTCCATACATTTTATAGTTTTTCCTACCCGAAGTATAATGCTATAAGGTATAAATATAAAGTTTTCTTTACTCTACCTTAGACTCACACTTAGATTTATTTTGTCATTTTGTTTAACAGAGTGTATACAAAAATAAATTTAGTTTAAATCAACTCTAGACATTTTTTTAAGTGCAGCCTTGAAAACAGTAATAAATACATTAAAAAAGTAATATAAACAAGTTTCTGTATATGAATAGTTCTAACATAATTATTTATTTTATTTTTTTACCTAAAGCAGTCATATGAACTTAACCAGATATCCCATTCGTTAGGATAAAACTAATCATCCTCACTGCATATGTCAGAATTTTATATTAAGAATGAATCGGAAGAGCAACCAAAGCAGATATTATAGCTTATATTGATAATGAATAATATAATTACTCCTCTGAAGGCTCGGTTACAACATTACCGTAAGAAGGAATAAGCCAACTTTTGTGAGGAGCTTGTGGAAGGATATTGAAAACATTTGACGCAAATTTACACAGTTGAAAGGCAGGATTACCAAATATGAATAAAAATTATGTTACCTTTTTACCTTCAAGAAGATAATTGAACAAAGATCGTTATCATTATTCTAGCCTAGCATTTAAAAAAAAGTTCCTAATTATATTGATTCTGACATAGGACATAAAAATGTTTATTCAGATTTCATGTATGATAGAGAAAAAAGCTTATGTTTCTTTTGCTTGTAATACACATGTCTGCAATATTGTCAGTACCACATGTTTAATGAAAGAAAAGCCTGCTAAGATCAAAGCAATAATAATGAACATTTTATGAAAATGAAGAAATAAAAGTCGGACATTTGCTTCAACAGAATAATTTTCAAAAATAAAACTCATGAAACAGGTCTGGACAAGAATGATAATATTGATTCGATCCAAAAAAAAATGAAAAAAGTGATGCGTGTCCACCAATTAGCATGACAGGTGTAATCTTGTAATAAATAGGTGGGCCTATACAGTATATACACTAGGTTTGGGTCACCAATTTAAAATCAGCGAGGTCCAAATAAAGAAAATCAACCAGTAACGGTACAAAGACATTTTTAATTATAATCTGTTACTTTAAACAGGATTTACCACTGAAATAAAATGAGTTTTTTTATGCATCCATGTTATACATTGAATTTTTAAACAAAAAAAAAAGATTAAAAAAAAAGAAAGTTTTTTGAAGTAGAGAACAAAAATCTTTCAGTTTTCAGTTTAGTAAATAGACAATTTCCTGACTCACATATCTTGTAAAACACCTGAACTGACATTTTCTTTTAATTTTTTTTATGGCTTAATAAGAGTAGTGGGCTTTAGGCTACCCTGCAAGGCTTTAAACCTGGGCTTTGAATGACGACAAAGCCATTCTCAAGCCATTCCAGGCTCATTCGTGAGCTTCTATACCTATTCCCAAAAACTAAGAAAGTTTAACTGAATGATTGGATGCAAACTATTGGTACATCAACATAACAGGAAGCATTTCTCAACTCGATCAAAACATTTATTTTATACTGGGAGGCTTAAAAGTTTCCTCAAATCCAGTCAAAACGCCCAAGAGTGCCTCTCACAACTTCAAAAGAAACTTCTCATTTCATCTCATCTTCTTCTCTTCTCACGAAGAGATGCTGAGTTTGGAGGCAGAGAACAAACATAGTTCATATAAACCATGTATGATCCTAGTTATCCCTGTTACAAAAATCCACAACAAAAATAAAAAATATTTGGGCAGAAACTGAACATATGCTGGCTGGATGATGGGGGGATTTTTTTTAAATTTAAAAGTCCTTAAAGTCATATTAAATGAAGGTTTCATTTCCGCATGTCTTGCTCCTGAGTTTAATAATAATAAAGTTTATGCTCTCCTCGAGTTCTGAGATAATCGGAGCAGAGAAAGATGAGAGGAACAGCGGAGGCTGTAGTCTTTGCTTTGCGCAGGAGGTCTGGAGCGAAGATGGATGATGTGGGATCTGAGGGTTAGACCCTGTCGTCAGACAACTTGCGTTAATTTATAAATGTTTTAAATCAGGTTGGGTCCGGGTCAGCCAGCAGGTGGGTCCGGATCCGGACCGCTGTCTGCTAATCCGTGACCTCTACACGAAGGCTACAGGTAGTCATTATTTTCTTTGGTAACATGGCGTGTAGTCAATCCACTCTCATAGAAAAAATATATAAAAGAGCTTTTCTAATGGCTTCTGACTCTGGTGTACCATTAACTCTCATTCTTGGCGATGTAATGATGGCCTTCAATATAATTTCTCATCCTTCTCCCCAGATTATCTTCCAGTGGCATCACTCACATCCTGCTTTACTAGTTTAATTCTTACTTTATCTGCTGATTACACTCAGCTCTTTCTACTTAACTCCTTCAGTTTTCATCTATGTCTGGTTCTGGGAACCATACTTTTGATCATTTATCTCCTTTTCCTCAGCAATATCTTCCAGGAATTTAGCATCCATTATAGTTGTTATGAGGATGACACCCAGCTCTATCTTTTTTTGGAAGTTAAATTCCACACTCCCACTATCCTCACTAATCTTATGGCTGTCTGAATTCATATCACGATTCACCTTTAACATCTAGAAATTACCTTAACAGTTAGAAAACTAAAATCCTGTTATTTATAGCCTTGTGTCTTCCCACATCAACTATTGAAACTCTTTTCTTTGGTCTTCCTCAAAAATCCCTGCATAAGCTCCAAATGGTCAAGAATTCAGCTGCCTGCCTCACCAAAACTCCCTCTTTTCATCTCATAAACCCAGTCTTACAGCAGCTCTACTGGCACCCTGCCATATTTGGAATATAATTGTATCCCTCTCTGCTCCCAAACTCTGGAATTTTCTCCCTCTGGACACAGACAATATTCGAAACCTTTCTTTGTGCAAATCTAAACCTCTGTATTTGCACTGCAAAAACGATCTGAAATTTGTAAAACTTTCTTAAATCAAGTGTATTTACCCTTTTGAGTAGGTAAATAAAATGATCTTCCAATGGAATTAGCATTTTTAC